TGTTATGTCTTGTTCATAGAGAGCAGGGTGTTTCCCCTTGTCTTTAGTTTTCCACTGTGAATAATTTGGCACTTAAAATAGAAAATTGAAGTGTCCCATTTCTCTTATATGTGGCTGTTGTTCTATATCATGAAGAGATGAGCAAAGGAATAATAATGGAAACATTTTTAGCAATATCCCCTTTAAATACAAGAAAGATTCATTCACTAATATAACTACAGTAACCTTTTCCACATTGCTTCTAGCTGCTGCCATATTTCGTTGTTGCTTCTTCATTTCGTTGTTGCTTCTGGTCACTGTAATTCTGTGTAGGTGCCTGGTGAATCAGCGTGGAGCTGAAAGATGAGCACAATGCAAATTCTGACTCACTACAATGTTAACTGTTCATTTTGATAGGGTGCTACAAGAGTATCAAAAAGCTTAATTTCTTATTTTCTGAACATTTAAACAAAATCAGTATGCTCTTGAAAATACATAGTTAAATAAATTGTTCATAAAAACAATTTTTAGATTTATTTTTCTCCTCAGATTAGCTGAATGCATTTACTTATGTTTCAGCTATTTGCAAGGGTGAATTAGCTGATGTTTTCAGAGCTTTGTAAAGCATCATGTAGGTGTCAAGATTTTAAATAATCTCTCGGCATTTATCACTATATTTAATAGGTTTTCAATTAGAATGTCAATTAAAGCTGATTTGTTTTAAAGAAACAGACATTTTTAATTGCAGCGTGCACATTCAGCCTTGTATTTAATTGCAACAAGATTGCTGAAATGCTGTCTTTATTCATAGATGTACAAGGACAAAGCTTTTACTCAATTCTCTGCAATTAGGATGAAATAGGAACATTGTCTCAGAAGGTGCAGAAAGGGAAGAACCAAGGAGCAGATTTCGTGACCCTGCTGTCTGCATGGTTGTGATGTTCTAAAGAAATCTGCCCCAAAACAGGATCTAATTCCCTTGTTTTGTTGTGTTGAAGTCTACAAACAGGCTCAAGAGAAGCTGGAATTAGTTATGGTAGCTAGAGCTCCCTCTTCTGCAGAATTCCCCTACTGTGTTGAAATTCTGCATAACCAACCTGACTAATGACTCAGAAAAGTGCCATTGCTGCAACAATGCTGCCAGGGCATGGTGCAGATCCTTGCTCCCTTTCAGTCAGCTCAGTGCTACTTGTGTGGACAGAAAGATGGTGACACTCTAAGGCAAGAGAAGTGTTCATTTTGCTCATAAGGCTAGCATAATCTGCACTACCCATGATCCTACCTCTTGATCCTCCTGGAAAGCAGTGGTGGTCTGGAGAAATGGTTTAAATGACTCTACTTGGGCTATACCATCTTGTGCCCCAAGGGCTAGAAAGGCAAGCTCCAACCCTTATATTTTGATCGAGCAAAGGCATGAAATATGTGTGATCCCAACATATAAGCAGTCCTGCTGAAAATCATAGGACTGTACAAATATTTCAGACGTCTGATAAAATGTTGTCTTAAGTCAGGTGTTTAATATCCGGTATCTAAAAACTAAAGCCCATATTCACTATTATTTCCTTTCCATCATGATCTTAGATCTCCCTTTGCACATTCTACCTGTATTTTCTTTTACCTTGGAAAATACCACGTGCTATGGAGGCTGTCTGATTTATACTTCAGATTTTTTGTCTGCTGTAAAGCAGCACATCAAGTTTTAATATGTCATCAATCATCACAGTAAATCTTATCCTTCTAGATATTATGATTTGAACACAAACTGCAGTCTTTGATGTTTTAATACTGTAATCCCCTTTCCAGCTGAAGGAAATGTTTTCAAGGTATCCATTTTCAGTTTTTCAGTGTTAAACACAAAAGCTGGCCTTCACTAATTGCAGTTAGAGGAAGTGTACCTACTGTGACATTTCTCATAGCTAGGGATTTTAAGTGCAGGTTTGGAATATAGCATTTTAAGTAGTGACACTGATGTTAAGTCACTGATGTGATGGGAGTTGTCCTGCAATATTGCCTCACAAACACAGGAGCCTGAGTTTGTCTTAGTGAGTTACCTCTTGTCCGCTAAGCCAGGCTAACCACACGTGGCATTTCGCAAAAGGAGGATAAATTGTTAGTTTAAAGCAGCAGCAAAGCTTCTTCCATCAGTCATTCATATTAAAAAACACTTGACTTCAGGTTAATTTTCTTGCTACTGAGGGTCAGTATTCTCATGTTCCTTTAGAAAATAGTGGCTGAACAGTGAATTTGTAGGTTATTTGGACAATGCACAGCATGACATTATGAATGGTAACCATAATGGTGGTTCACTCCTGCATGAGTATTTTAGTACCTCTTTTTCTGGAAGATCTGATGTTAAAAAGATGGAAGTGATTTTGAAGCAGAATGTGACAAATGTCTGGACTTGTGTGCCATACGCAAAATAAAATAAAACAACAAGCTTTTCAGCCTCTTCTATAATTAAAGTAAACAAGGCAAAAATAAACCCAGAATGGAAAATAAATTGAGCTGAGGATATGATTACACCTAATTTTCATGGGCTTGATGTCATTCTGCATTCACAGTATAATTCCCCTTTAGTACAATTGTAAACACTTTCTATTCATCTGGTCATTGATTCCTCTTATCCTAAGGACCAACTTTATACACAAGCACCAAGAAAAAGAATATGAACACCCAGCCCTCTCTATGATAAATGTCATACATGTAGGGAAAAGCTACATTTGAGTGCTTTATATCCCCTGCTGTTAAATTCTTGGCACACACTCTGAATTTAAGCAAAAAAAAGATAGACCTAGTCTTGTGAGTCATTTTCGTGATTGATCTAATTTACCTTGAAGGTTAATGTATTCTAAACTAATTCAGAGATTAATAACCACTTAAAGATATATGAAAGACATTTAACTGTATACAAGACGAGTGTTGTAACCTAGTTTATTATCTCTTCAATGACTTTGGGAGTTTGTTTGAAGACATTTAAGAGTGATTTGATTGTTTGATACAGAACAGCAGGTGCAAAGCAAAAAAGGTATTTTCAGGGCTCACTAGTTAATTCTGAAAACAAGGAAGTAATTGTATCTGTACTACATATTTCAGATGAATTATCAGCTTGAAAATAAATGTCATAAGTTCTTTCTTATGGCATTTTAAGTAGTGTCTTCATTAAACTTCTTTCAATGATTAAATAAGTGGTTGGACCACAACAATGCTAGATCTACATTCTCCTGCCTGCTTTTGACTTCTAGGACAACAGAATTGATGACGCTAGACATTTTCCTGTTTTTCCCCCCTGAAGAAACAGAATATCAGTGCAGAGGTTTGCCTTTGTCTCTAAGGGACTGTGTCAAGCTTAGGTGTTGCCATTTTTAAACAAACCAACACAAGTCTGCTGTTCGTCTAGTAGTTTTGGATATGGCCTCTCTGCTGAAAAAAAAATCCAGTAATTTTCTGGAGAGTGTGTGTCTAACCTGATAGAGCTAGCAGACAGAAATATGAGACAGTGTTGCATATGCCCAGGTGCTTTTACTGGGCTGCCATCAGCTCAAAAGTCACAGACATTTTCTTGCGTTAGAAAATGGAGATGCTAGTTGTTACCTAGGCATATTTCTGCTTTGACCTGCAAGTTAGGTTCTCCAAGAAAAAAAATCCAAAACACCTGTAAAATTCCTTCAGGACCCTAGAGGCTTTAGCATGATTTGGGCAGAAGAGGATTATTTCCCAAGAATGCGACCAGACACGGAATCAGATGCAAGAGAGGAAAGCACCCACAGCAAGTTAAAATGAATAGCTGTGACAGTATCAGGAGATTGTTCTGCGGTGGGAAGCCCGGCAGATGGTGCAAGCTGATCCTTGTACTGATGGGCCAGGCAGTGGTTGTGAACACAACTGAACAAGCTACGAAGTTCTATAAAACACTGTATCACATTCCTTTGCTGATAACTGCACCACAGAAGCAAGTATGCACACAGAACATCTTCAGAGTTGTTATGAGCTTTGTTTGAGATGTATGGACTCATAATAAACTTGAAGGAAAAGGATGTTATGTGTGTCATTTTGTATATGAGTCTGTTGTTAGTCATTATAATTCATAACATATGTTACTTGTGAAAATTTTTGTTGTTTTAGAATTGTGTTATTTGGAGCATGTTCTCTTGGACAAAGAACTGTCATATAACATTAGCACAGCCCATCCATCTTTTGTATTTTTATAAAAGAAATAAAGCTTGGAAGCAATATGGTATCATTCTCTAGATTAAATTAAAGGTCTGCAAAGTGAATACTTTATCTAATTTTATATACAAGAAAGCACAGACTTGCTGCTGATAATACATACAGCTCAGGAGAGGATTCATCTGCTTACCACACTGTATTCAAGGTAGGAAGCTTTCTCCAAAATCATTTTAGAGCATAGCAGTCTTCCAGGCAGCTGAAACCATGAACATTACAGCACACTTCATGGGGCTGATCTTATATCTGGAACAGAAGACAACTGCTTTAGAAGATTGCCAATTCAGATTTTATTTGGTGAACTGGAAGAAGGAATACTGTCTGCCAGGGCAGCCAGATGAAAATCTTAAAAGTAATACTGAAGCACAACCTAAGGTAACATGAAATTGCTGTTGACAGCTGGAAAGTATTGACAGCAAAGACAGCATGCTGCTGTTCAGCAGTTTTATTGCAATGATTTGGTCTGACCTGCAATATGTAACCGATACCAAAGCAAGGGGCACTGAAAACTGACAGGTTCACAAGGCAGAGATTCCCAGATTTTCTGACTTAACACCCTATCCTGGAAAGGAAGAAAAGCCATCCATATACTGGGCTTTCCAGCATTCAATTACCCAAGGTGCAATACAGCAGTATATTGTCTGTGATTCTAAAGTACAAATCTCTGTAAAGGCATTGAGGATTGCTGTGTCTCAAGATGCAACAAAAACTCTATATGATGCTTATCATAAATCTCTTCAGATGTCACTGTTCACCTCTGAAGACTGAAAGGAAACTTACATCTCAAGGACACCTCATTTTTTTAGTCTTGCAGTGATCCAGCATTATTCTGCACTTCGAGCTTCTCTTTGCTTTTGTGTTGGTATCTTGAATAGTAATAGCATCTGTAATAATCCAAGTATCAGAAGATCTGTCGTTTCTGCTTCCATTTTATGAACAGAGTTTTTGTTGTCAAGAACATCTTAATTTATCAGTCTTATTTTTCCCTAGAATATCAATTTAGTCTTGATGGCAGTTAAACTAGATGCATTTAAATCACTTTTTAAAGTGAAGATTGTGGAATTCAGCTGGATACAAAAGCAAACCTCTTTCCACTGTCAGAAACATGATGAAATTGTACCTTTCATTCTGGCTTTGGTCATCCTCCAGATCTGTTTCATACTTTTGGGTTCCTTATAAAAAGCACTCAAAGTTTTTTATGAATAAATCATTTTTTCAGTGAGAAAAGGGCAGATTTTTCTGAAAGTGAGATCTATTTTATCCCAGTTCTAATGATGTGATAGTAGCTGGCACCATAATTGCGACATCAAAGTTTCACTTCTTAGGCATTACAGACCAAAAAAAAAATACTTTCACTGTATCAAGAAATTTCAGTGCCAGATGTGTTATAGTAAGATGTAAGACTTTCTTTAATGTCTATAGACTTTGGCTCAAATTCTCTTATTTAGAGTTTTCTCAGAAAAGTTAAGCTGCATGAGATCTATTCACTAATCTACATCTTGTACTTCTGATATTTTGGCGTTAACACCAAATAAACTTGACTATCGTAGCTTCCAGTTTAAGTTCATTATTTGACAAACTCTGTAACATTTATTTCCTTGGTGACCAGAGTCATTTAACAACTTCATTAATAGTTTTGTAGTGTCAGGTTCAGAGAGCCGGTTGCTAGGATTGATTTTCTGTTTGAGGCCAAGTTTTTTTAATTATGTTAAAATCTCTCTCCCTTCAAGTACAGAGCATTTTATATATATATATATATATATATATATATATATATATATTCCTTTTTCCTATATTTTCAAAAAACCAAAGCCAGCTACACAAAATCCTGTGTCTGTTGCTTTAGTTTAGCTGTAGGCATTAGGTCCCTTAGGCATTTAAGAATGCTAGTTAAACAGAAAAAAATAGACTTTTAGTTACAATAAGCTCACAATATTTAGCAACATGAGGGTGCTATTTACAGGGATCTCCTACGTCACCAGTTGTGTTGATAGATCAGAAAACAGCATACCTGATATTTTCTGTGAAATAGAAAATTACTTCTTTCTTTTTCTTTAATATCTGATTTGCGTTGGTATCTTATGTCCATGGCATTTTTTTCTGCCTAACTTAACAGAGTGATTCTGTAGTTCTTATGATTAAATGTGCAATTAAGGCTTAAGCACTATTAGCACAAGGGATTTTGAAATTAGGATGGGACTATAACATTGACATCAAATTTAAATGTCAGCACTACTGAAATAGAAAGTGTGACTTTCATCTTTCAGTTAAGAGCTATGTAACTCTGCCATGCAAATTGCTAACGGGTATAAAGCATGATGAGGCATCAGGACTCAATGTACCCAGCAGCAGTACTTAGCAGACCTATAATGGATTTACCCACAGTAATTTTTGGAATTATGTGTGTGCTGACAGCATACAAATGACACAGTGCAAATTATATTATTTTAACTTGTTTATCAACTTGTCATCATAGCCCTTTCCTTTTTTTTCTTCTTCCTACAGTGCTGCATTGTAAATCTGACTCATGCAGAGAAAGTCACAAAGATGCACTGGCCTGTCTAGATTTCAAGCAATATTATTATGAGAAATACATTAATTTGTCTGTATGGAAAGGATTTAAAGGCTGTTGCATTCATTTGTTACCAGAGATTGAGCACTTAGTCACACAGACTCTGTTCAGCAAGAAAATTATCTCTTCTTCTCAAGTCCATTAACAGTACTTGAGAAATATAAATATTGGAGGATATTAATGACCATGACATCTATACCTGATGTATTAGCACCCCAAAATATGATTAAGTGCTAGGTTAATTAACATTTTTTGCTATGATACTTGTAAAAATGTAGTCATTTTTTAAAGCTAACTGAAACTCCTAGAAAAGGACAGTGGTCTGGTCTGGGTGAGCCATTGTCCTATTGATTATTTGATTATTTGTAACAGCAACATATAGCACACCCCAGATATGTCGCACTATATAAAAGAAAATGCTGAAGGTAATATATTGTTATTGCAGTAGTAACTCCATGAACTCCTCCTCTTACTAGTTTTCTACTGCAAGCAAAACTTTATTACAACAATGACAAAGAAAAACCTCTATCTTCCTTTAAAAGATGGGAACTTGAAGTGTAGAAAAATTAAAGGTCAACAAAAAAAGAGTGTAAAAATACCTTTCATTAAGCAGCCTTGCTTTTCCTGAGATCAGGAGAGTGGAAGTGGAGCTTTTTAGAAATTCTGGCCCTCAGTGGCTTAGCCAAGGATGCTCAGAGGACACATGGCAAAGTACAGACCTCAGGTCTCTCAAATGCAGTCTTCAGGGCCATCCTTCTCTCTGGAAGTTACCTTACGTCTGACTCGTTGTGTTGATAGACTTCTAGAGACCAGAGGAAACCAAATAGCTCTGAAATAACATTTTCATTATGAGATCTTTTGCTATTAATTCTTGACTCAAAGTTTTTGATGAGTCTAGTGGGAACTGAGTGAATAGGAGTGGGAGTAGGGTTTGCAAGGTCAGGTGGCAAGATGCACATCTTTAGCAGATTACTCAACTGGCCCAAGGAGACCTCAGATTTGAAAGAAAATCCTGGCACGTGACATAATACAGTGTGCAATTAGTTATTATGCAGGAAATCATTCATATTTTTCAGTAAGTTTTTCTGCTTAACTTCTCTTCTTGTTTGTCAGATTTCTGTTAATGAAATAATCTCCATTAATATGAACAAGTAGTTTATCCTATATTGCAACAGGAAAAAAGGGACAAGATTGGTACACTCTGAAAAGTATCTTTCAGAATAGCAGTTCACTTGCCTGGTGGCTGAGTTTACTGTTTAAATGTGAAACAGTGGTTCCTCTTGTCTTTATTTATTCATTTATTTATTTTGGAGGGGCTTTCCTCAACAGAACCACTGTAATAGCAGTTGTAAAAAAAAAAAAAAATAAAATAATGCATCATCCCAGCACTGGAACATACTTCACAACCACAAAGACATTAATTTCACTATACCTCAGTGCATTTGTATTCTGCAGTTATTAATGGGTTAATGGTCTGTACAGTTTTAATGAATAGAACATAAATGAAGAGACAGGAAAGGATATTAGAGTGAAGTCCATGAGTGAAAGCTTTAATTAGACTCCCATCTTCAGGTCATTAGCTGCATAACTACCTGTGGACAATATAATAATTATTCTCACATGATGTTCATGAATTTGCTTTTTGTTTGGATTAGTAAAATGTTAATGTCATTTCTATGAACAACTAAACTCACTGATGTGAGGTCTATAAAAAAGTGCAGTCAACATACATGACTATGGCATGTCTTCCTCCACCCCTCATGCTGTTACAAACTGGTTTTAATTAATACATGATGACTTCCCATTAATTTTACTGCAATTTGGAAACCATATCTGTGCAGGGCCTTGCAAACAGAAACAGCAAGCATTTCATTTTTTCCATGAAAAAGTGTCCTGAAAACTGATGTTTCATCACTCTCTTAGCCAGCATCACAGTTAGGGAGTATTTGACTCCTTTGACCTTATGGTGGATCTGTTAATTTGTAGATTAGAAAGGAGAGAAAAAAGGGAGATAAAAAGGTGTGCAGCTAATCAAAGCAGAATCACCATGCTGTTGGCAGATGACCTGATTGTGTTGAGTAACTTGTAAGGGAGCGTAAAGCATAATATGATTAAACTATTAGTTATATTGAACATTTAAAAGTATCATTTCTAACCCAGGAACTGGCCTTGCCAGACAGCTTAGTCTGAATTTAGAAGGCTTGCTGAAACTATTTCTGAAGCTCACTATATTAGATCCATTTTACAGTACACCTGTTTCTATACCAGGGCAATCGTAACACAGTTGAAGCAAATACCTTCTCATCTGTCTCCATTTTTTTTTTTTTTTAATTTTTCCATTTAAAAACCCTTTTCTGTTTAAACTCTTATTCTGCCTTTGTACCTAAGAATTTTGTAATGGAGCTACAAGTTAATCAAGCTGAGTACATCAATTCTGACTACAGTTAATAAGGCATTTGTGTAACACCAGTGATTCAAACAAGTCCCATTGGGAGTTCTACCATGCTTGCTACAATTTATACATATAGAAAAGTATTCAAGAAGGAAACTGTGGGTATTAACAGGAAGTTAATTATGATGAAATTAAGCATGTTAGGCTTTATTCAAGGACATTGTAAACTTCAGTGGCTAGGTTTTGACCCACTACAGAGAATATTTATCCTGAAATTATGGGGTTCAACTCCCAGCTTTGACTGCACTTTTAAAGTTTGACAGCTCTTATGTTAGGCAGAGGAAGGATGGGAGGAGACAGGAATTGTTTAGTAGGTTACTGAACTGATTATACATTTGTTATGTGCGTACTGGAAGCTTATATGAAAGTTTAATATTAACCATCTCCCATTAAAAAAGAAAAATCAATTCATAAGTTATCTTGACATAAAAAACCCACTGTGACCAAATACCACTTTTATTCTTTTGAGACTTTGTTCTGCCTAATATTTATGGTTCTGAAAAGCTAGCAGTTCAGACAGCTGTTTTCCAAACACCGTGGTTTAAGTCTGGAGATATTTTGCTCTCTATCATTTACCTGAGAGGTTCTGGCTGCTACAGAATTCATAATGGTTCAGTTTTATGCTGACTTTCTAATGTAGCAGATGCTTAAGAACACTGCTAAAACTTTGAATAGAAAAAATATACACTCTCAGGAAAATCCCTGGGCAGAGTTAGTTTGAAATTCTATGACAATTAAGTTCTGAATCTGGGTTTTGTAAATCAGAACAAAAATAAGTTGCAGAGAATTACAGAAGCATCATTTTTAAAACTGATTCAAAAAACATTATATGAAAAATAAATTAAAAGGAATATCCTCTTATGTTTATCTATTTGATATCTCTTGGGGGTAAAGCCATTTGCAGCGTACAGACATATCTGATGTAGCTGACTACAGAATAAAATAAAGACGTAGCTGTAGCATATAGAAATATAGCTGTCTTATGTATCTGCCTAACATAAATAACAATAACAACAGAATGACGTGAGATTAGCAGGCTCCTGAGGGAGCCCTTTATCATTCAAAATGTTGTGAATCAATAGTGTAAAGACTCAGATCAAGAGAAGCTTAAAAATAAAGAAAACAACCCACTGAGATGAGAACAGCCACACACTTGGAAAAACATAAATAATTAGTTAATTAATGAGGTCTTGATAAGAGAGACATATTGGTCTGGCCACTAAAATATCATGGAACATAATCTATACACTTTCTATTGTTTTTATTGCTATAATTAATTCAGTACACATGCACAGCTCACTAGTGCTAGACAGGTGGTTTCTGCAGCCAGCTCCCACACAGTTATCATCACATACTGTGGAAGCTGAAAAGCTTGTGGAAGAAAGCTTTTATTATAGCCAGCCTAATTAATAAATAAAAACAAGAAACAGTTTATCCAGCTCAAGTTTTAATTAAAGGAGTTGTTAATTCTCGGACTCCCTCTGTTCAGGGCCTGTTCAGTTACACACTACATTTCTGCTGAGGCAGAGAACTCTCCAGGCTCAGAGAACTGGAAAATAAACAGAATGGCAGTTATGACCCCCAAAACATAACACGATTGGCTTCACACAGCAAGTAAATAGAAAAACTGCTCTTACCAGCCTTCAAATCCCTCTCATGCCCAGTTGTCAGGATGCTTCTCTTGAAAAGATCATCTTTTCCATACTTTGCAGTGAGGATAACTCGAGGACATTTCTTTTCACTCCTGTTCACTCCCTTAGTAGGCCTGACATGCCCATGAAGTAAACTTGCACTTTCTGATCAGATTTATATAATAGCAATAGCCTGTTAGTACTCTAAGTTACACTTCGGGCTTATTCTTTGTAATCATATACTTAACACAGAATGTAGCTAGGCCTCTTGTGTATCCCTAACATGGTTTGATTTGTTTAAATGGGTTATAAAGGCAAGTAATTCATCTGGGAGGTGAAAAGTGACAGATGTTTTGAATTGGGCTATTTCTCACCTAGTTAAGCATTAAAAAAATATTAATGACCAGTTCCATAAAAGCAATAGTATGATATGCCTCAAAGTATTCTAAGTAATGTTCATAAGTTCAATTTTCAGATCCAATTCTGCAGACCAGTAGACCAATAACCGTTTTAGGGCATTTTAAAATGCTGATGATGGCCCAAATAAATGGTTTTCATTAATGCTAGAGAACATTTTTAGACTGTAAATGAAGACAAAAATTGTATTAGAAATCACTGTATTACTCAGGGTGTACAACAGCTAGGATTTCAAAGAGTTAGCTGTTCAAATACAGGTTCCTTTGCCCAGCCAAATTGTGTACTGGGTGATAGCACAAGATGCTTTCCTACTTGCCTGTACATTTAATCTGCAAACAAACTCAGACACAGTGGAGTTTGTTGTTGTTTTTCTCTAAATTCAGAACCAAGGGAGGATGCAAATGTTTCTGGAATGAAAACGTAAGTAATGTTTATGGACGTAAAAGGAAGTAGGTAATAGGACATGGTAAGAAGCCTTTGGAAAAACAACGGTTCTTGTGGCAAAAAGAATATACAGGCTTTCCACTGCAGCATGCTGCAGAGAGCCAAGTACTGCTGCTACACGACAACAAAGCGTTTCCTCTGCTTTGTACCTGCCAGCTCAATGGATCAGGCTAGGACCAGAATCATAAGCATGGCCTCAAAGACATCTGCCCTCCTGGCAGTTACTGTTTGTAGAAGCCAACCAACCCCTCCCATATTGCCCAACCCCTTGCAGAACAATCCAAGCATCCCTGCATCATACCCTACCTTCCAGAAAGCTGTTGTTTTGTTTGCCATCACACTACCTTCTTTATCTGAAGCAAAGATTTTTTTTATTTTTTTTAATTAATTAAGCTTCTTAATGTACTAAGATCTGTGTAATGTATTAGTTATATTAAACAAATAAGAAGTGTTTACTTACAAAAAAAATTGAAGTCAAAGTGTTATAGAACAGTAATTTATCACAGGTTTTGGTTCAGTGGTTCAGAATATGAAGTATAAGAAATATTGAAGGGTTCATTATACAAGAAAACAGGCTTGAGGGGCATAAAATTAAAGAAATTGGACTGGTGGAGTAGAATCAGTTTGTGGAAGCTGATTTAATTTCATTACAATCAAAAGGCAATACCTAGATTTATCAGGAAGCAAGCATATTTTATTTTATTTTATTTTATTTTATTTTATTTTATTTTATTTTATTTTATTTTATTTTATTTTATTTTATTTTATTTTATTTTATTTTATTTATTTTATTTTTATTTTTTTTTATGGACAAGCAGCATCTGTAAAACATTTCTGGTCTGGTGATAAAATAGAATGGCAACAATTTTGGGGAAAAGTATGACCCAGAATAAAAACAAAAATAGTCATGTACCCACAAATATGGTCATACATAAATGCATAATTTAGGATGATCATTTTTGTCTTCTTTTTAAAATTACAGAAGCAAAATATCCCATAGGTTATCTGAAATTGGTGCTGGAAATTACACAGCCAGTAAATTCCCAGTCGGTTCAGTTGTACTACATAATGAGCAGATCAATATTGCTTGGTCTTTAAAATTTCTACTAAAAGTCATATCAAACATTTATGTTTTGATGAGCACTAATTGTTAGATTTTACAGCTTAGGCCTATGTTTTTAATTCCTTTGTGCCAGAGGGTGCAGTTAGTGTGGATTTTATACCCCTGACTGAACCAGCAGATGCCAGACTGGCACCAGATCCCTTTGATAATCACGTTGATAATCCAGTACTTGACTCCCCTGCTTGAGGGAATGGAGCACAGCATACTCAGTTACTCCAGCATCTTTTTACATTTGGGGAAGACTCTTCTGGGCATTCAGAGTTCATTCTGGCTGAAAAAAAATACTAGTATCAAGAGAACAATGCTGAAACTAGAGGTTAGTTTTTTTCCCTAATTTGAAAAGCATCTTTGTTGTACTTTGTTTCCCCACACCTTTACAATATGGCTTCTTTTTTAGAGGCCTAAAATGATTTGGTTTTGTTTTGTAATAACATGAATCTGCATGCAGTTTCAGTGTGCAAATTCTTCTACACGCAAGTACAAATGCTCCCACGTGTAACTGTTTTATAAGTGTGGTAATATTCTCTCACATTTTTTTCATAGTAACCTTGGTTTTACTAAATTTGGTAGAAGTTCTTTCATGAGTTATGATAAATGATTTGAAGGAAGCAAAGAGACAAGTAACTTAAGCACTAAGTATAAATAGTAAATATGAGCAGCCTTAGGTAAGATTAGGCATTTCCACCTCAATATTCTGGTGTAGAGAACAGTTCAAACAAGGACCAGGAACACAGAAGATGACAGGGCCTTGGTAAGGACATTGAGGATAAAGGAGATTGTTGCAAAAAAATAAAATCATCATGGGATCTTTAATATCCTGAGACAAGAAAAACATTTGCTGCTTCACATTCCTAAAGATATTAATTATAATATCATCTTCATAAGCATATTTGGAGTTTTATAGATTCCAGGTCAAAAGCACACTTAGGGAAAATATACTGAATTCAAGGGGAAAGCATAGTTTAGAGTACAGCTCTGTTTTATAGATTAATTTATTGTTGTCATTTGTTTTTTTAAATAAAATGCTACATATGTAAAAATTGTCATGACTCAACCCTGCCAGCGCTCACTTAACACTGAGAACTAATTGAGTTTGTACTGTTATCACTTCTTCACTCTTCCTTATTCTTTCATGCAACGAACTTAAAGCATTTTGTAAGCATTGCATAATTGTTTATTGCATCATCTGATGCTAGAAATTTTTCCATTTGATTTCTTTGATCTTTTGTTTACAAATTACAGATTAACAAACAAACAAACAAACAGTTACTTCTCTCAAGGTCACTCAAAACAGTAGAGAAGAGCTCAAAAATTACAGCTCCCAAAACAACATGTAAGCCAATAGACCATATTCTCTCCACTGGATAATATTGGAGAGGTTGCTTGGCAAGAGTAATATATATGATTAGCATTTATTTTAGGTATCTTAAAGAGACTAGTTTAAGAAAAATACACTAAGGGTGAAATTTTTGGAGAGGTTCCAAACCTGCCTGATCCATTTTTCTCTACACTTTTCATGTGTAATTGCACTTGCATGCAAATAGCATTTGAGTGAATGCAGAGATCAAATAAGCTGACAGCTCACATACAAATCCTGTTTGCCTCTAATAGAGCTATGGGGCTATGTATTTGCATGCACAAATATATAACTAGTTTTTAAATATGTACTGAAGTTAAACTGAAATCGAGTTGTATCAATCACATTCTTAAAAGTTAATCATCTCCTTAGGTCTCTTTCTATAAAGGGAAATGGTATATTTTGAAATTATCCCTGATATGTTTTTTTGTCATGGGTAATCAGGAACTGAGACAATTTCAAATACTTCATCCAAGGAAAATAATTGCGCATGGAGCCAGGTCCTAAAACTAACCTTTCACCTCCATAGCTCTGTTGGTTACCTGAAGCAAATGTCAGGCCTGAGGTTACTGGCAGGATTTATGATGACAGAAACTAAAGCAGCAGCCAAAATATTCAATATACAACCTTTATTTTAATAAAACACGCCAGCCAGTGCATGGAGAGACAGCCTATGCAAAGTGATTCAATTGTAGCATCATCTTCCCATCAATGGGGAAGAGTCTCTGATAACTAGGGTAACTGCCAATTGATTAGAGTCTTTTCATAAAATAAATTTTGAAGGAAAAAACAAACAAACAAACACAAAAACAAACAAACAAACCTTCCTTTAATGATTGTCCAATTAGTTGGTGCCATAATTTATAGAGTTAGAAGAAGTGGTTAACTTAGAATGACCATTACATTTTCCTAAGCTCTTTTTGGTTTGCTGTGGCTTTGGGAAAGAAGTGATTCTCCAGACAATGTAGTTTAGATTAAGATACTTCTCTATCACGAACTTTTACCACATCTCCCCTGACTTTATCATCCAAGTTATGTCCATGAAAATTCTCTTCTCTATAAGTTATATTTTGCCTTTAGTTACTTCAGCCTGAAATTATTTTTCAGTTGCCATTGAGCTGGGCATTGGAGACCACATATGCAATTAAGTGAAGCAATTAAAAATTAGAATCAGGTAAAATTATCCAGGTCATAATCTGAAACGTAAGGAGATAGGAATTCTCCAAATTATAGCTACCTTTTAATTTGACTTCAAGAATAACACAAATAGGAAGCACTGAGAATTTATAATTCAGATGAATGGAGGATAATGTTGAATATAAATTGAACATGAAGTACAGGTGATGTGAAGCAGGAAAATGGGGAGACTAAAGTTAAAAGAACATATAAGTCAAAGTAAAACTCTTTTGTAGGCTATGTCTTGTGGATTTGCATAGTCTAATTCTGCCTCTGTTTTTCTCTTTTTGCACATTTTAAAAACTCTCTTCTTCGATCCAAGACAGAGGAAACAAGCACAAGTCAATCCTTGGTGAAAAATGTAGCCCACTAGAAAAGAGAATGAAAAGGCTGTTTAAAAACAAGCAAGCTGGAGTATATTCTTTTCAGATACACTGATTTTCCCTTTTCCGTTTAAGGACAAAACAGCATGCTTACTGTCTGAATTTTAAAGAGATGCAGCTGCGTCCACAGATGTATAACTTCCTACTACCCGAGTTGAGCAAACAAGAAAGAAAGCAGATCCCTGAGCCTCAACTCTTTCCACGGTCTGTTCTGCTCAAATTACTGCTTTTTGGCCACAAGCCACAATAATAACAACCCTTATTATTATCTTTGTAATGGAACTTCCTAGCGACCAAGAATAAATTAAGAATAACTCTCAAGAACTTCAAGAGAGAAGAACTTCATAGTTCTTCAAGAACTTTGTTG